GCAAGCGGGAGTTCCTGAGAGAAGAATCGACCCAGGCGATCAACCGGTTCGCGTTTTCCCCCCCCCCCCCCCCCCCCCCCCGGCCTCGCTCCTCACCAGCGCTTCCCCCTCCCCCTCCCCACGCCCCCACGCCCGAGACCTCCGACCCCGACTTCCGCACAGCCCCCGCTTTTCCCCTCACGTGCGCCCGCGCAAGCCATGGTCCTCTGGTGGCAAATCGTCGTCACCCTCGTCTGCATCGTCCTCTCCGGCACCTTTTCCGGCCTCACGCTCGGCCTCATGTCCCTGGACATCATCGACCTCCGCGTCCTGACAGAGTCCGGCACGGAGAACGAGCGCTGGTACGCCCGCCGCATCCTCCCCGTGCGCAGACATGGCAACTGGCTCCTGTGCACCCTGCTCATCGGAAACACCGCCGTCAACTCGGCCCTCGCCATCGTCACCGCAGACCTCTTCGGCGGCATCGCCGGCTTTCTCACCTCCACCATTTCCATTTTGTACGTCGGCGAAATCATTCCGCAGGCCGTCTGCCATCGCTTCGGCCTCATCATCGGCGCTTATGCCATCCCCTTTGTCCGTCTCTTCATGTGGCTCACCGCCCCCCTTTCGTTCACCACCGCAAAAGCACTCGACTTTTTCCTCGGCGGCGAGTCCGTCACCAGGTATAACAAGTCCCAGCTCAAGAGTCTGCTTTCCATACACGGCACTCAGAATGAGCCCCCTAATCCCCCCACAAAACCCAACGACTCCACGGCAAAAATCCCCCCAAACGACGCAAATGCCCCTTTCGATGACCACATTCGTCTTCATTTTGATCCCCCTCCTCTCAACGCCACCGTCGTTGAGCTCCCTCAAATTACTTCCCGCAACGCATCCAGTACAAACCATCCCACTAATATCCTGTCTCAATCTGATCCATCCGTCGCACCTGTGTCGATAGCACGCACCCAACAACAACACCTCGCCGCTGTTGCTTCGATCAATTCCGCCTCTCGTTCTTCTAGCTCGGCCCAGCTATCTTCCACCGAAAGAGCCCAGCCTCCCCCCATTGAGCCCTCCTCTTCCTCTGCGTCTTCTCCCATCCCTGCCATCTTTCCTACCCCCTCAAACCCAAAATCACTGAGGCGCGAGATGGCTAGTCGTATAACTAATTTTTATAATGTCAAGCGTAACCGCAGCGTGGACAAATCCGCCCGAAAGGATAGGGACAAGGACAAGCATGACCACAAGAATATTGTACCAAAAGCACCCCTCACCGCTGATGAGGTTGCCATGCTTGGTGGCGCTTTTGACTTTAGCCAAAAGGTTGTCAGTCAGGTCATGACTAAGCTGCACAATGTCTTCATGTTGGAAGCATCACTCTCTCTCAATTTTGAAGTTCTGCTTTTGATCTTCCAGTCGGGGCATTCCCGAGTCCCGGTTTACGACGTAGCAAGAGAAAACATAATTGGCGTCTTGTTTGCTAAGGACTTGATTCTTCTAGACCCAGAGGAATCTGTGCCAGTCAAAACTGTACTCCTCTTTTTCAACCGATCGGTTCTCGTGGTCTATGATAACACGCATCTCAATGAAATGCTCGACATTTTCAAACAAGGCGGTGGACACATGGCTGTCGTACGTAGGATTGTTGCCTCAAAACCACACGAACCGCCTTCACTGGAGACGCTTGGTGTTGTCACCTTGGAAGATCTCATTGAAGAGTTAATTGGTCAAGATATTGTAGATGAAACAGATGCGTACCATGATAAGAACCGTAAGAAACCGGTACAACGCATTCGATGCATAGATCCAGAGGTCCTGAAGATGTTTGACTCCACAAGGCACAACGAGGACATTCTTTCCGCAAAGGAAGTTATGGTTGTCGGGTCGTACCTGGCCAACAATACAGACGAATTCTCAAGATCTTCTATTGATCTCGAGGTTTTGCAGGGCATTTTGGCTGAAATACCTATAATAGAGTACAACGATGATGACAAACACAGGATCTACGGCACTGCAGAGTTGCAAGAGGGCTTCGGCATAGCTGCCGCCGACAGCAATGACAAACTTGAGGGAGTTGACAGTGAAGGCCGACCCAATGTTTCTTCGACACGGGAGACTATTTCGCCTATCCATCCGGAAACTGTTTCTGACACCATGGGAACAAGCAACAACGCTCTCCGCGACACCAGTCAACCAGATATCATGATTTATTCAAGGGGTGTCCCTACCAAGAACGCATACTTGATCATAAATGGAAGAGTGGAGATAAAAACTGGGGATGAAGGACTCGTTTCAGAAGCTGGGCCGTGGACATTGCTCGGTGTGCGCGCATTGACGGACGACATTTATGCGCCGGATTTTACCGCACTTGTCAGCGAAAGGCCGGCACGACTACTTCGCATCCCAAGGAAGCTTTACCGTTTAATGATCCATCAGAGTGCTCGGACGAGAGCAAGCGCTTCGGAGCATGGACGCTCGAGCTCGACACCCATGCCGCCACTATCAAATGAATCGCCTGCGAGTGAAAAAAGGCGTGGGAGTGGGGGTTCGGCCAACAGATCTGCGTCATCACTGGCAGTTGCTGCTGCTGCCGCAGCCGTCGCCGTAGGTAACCCTAAGTCGAGTACAGGGGTGCTGCCAATGCCTGGAACTTCTTCGGATGCGGCGGTTGTGAAAAAATTGAGACACCGGCCAAATGGGCAATCACTCGAATGGAGTGAACTGGAACCTCTCGGATTAGTAGCAGAGTCAAAGGCTGCCGCCTCGGTCTCTCAAGACCTTTCAGGCGGACGAAGTAGGAGTGCAACGACACCAACGTCCGGAGACCAGGTAGACGCAGTTTCTCCAGTTAGGGGCAAACCTGATGGAAAGCCGCCAACACCGCCATTTCGCTCTTCGCGATAAGGTTGATAAATGCAAATGTAAGACTCGATCATATGAACAGCTATGGGTTACGGGCGCATAAGTCAGTAGTCCCTGTACAAATTATCTGATTCCGATCCAGGACGCGGCCACAACTATAGAAAGATGGCGTAACGAGTGCATCAAACCCGTGACGGCACTCTTAAATATCTTGCATATGACTAAAAATTAGTGATATGCGGGCGGCTTCGCGAGAGACCTCACTCCTGCCTCTTCCACTTGTGTACAACGCGATAGACGATGCATGCCCTTTCCCCTGCACAAGCAGTTGCTGACATCTCCTGCGTATTTGCCCCAGTACTTGGCCTTCTCCGCCTAGCGCTCTAGAATGAGATGCGCAGGCCCAATACTTCATGCAACGAAGGCCACAGCAGAAAATAACCCAGAGTCTCTCGCATACATCCCCACGAGGAATGCGCCGCCACAAAGAACTCCCGATATAGAAGCCTACCACCTGGCCTTTGCGGCGGCAGAAACAGAGAGGAACAGATATGTCCACTTGCCCACTTGTTTTGGGCAGCAGTCTTTCTCGATTCCCCCGTCGATAGTACCTCGTCAGTCCCACAAATACACGAGGGAGAAAAATTATCTTCGAAACACTGATATAGATGTCTGAGTAGTCGAATCCAAGGTTTTGTATTCATACATCCCTTTACGACGCTGTAGGCAAAAGCCCTTTAAGTCGCATATAGTCAACAACCCGGCGCACTATTTCAGTCATGACCCCAGCACTTGACAAGTCTTCCCCGCCACTCACTCGCGACACTTCCACACCAGAATGATTTTTCACTTCCTTCAGCATCCAAATCGCATCCTCAGTGGAAAGAACATTCTGATGGTCTTGCTCAAAAAACCCGGCACTCACAAGTGTATCGTGGTGACGACTGCCCTCCCCGAAAATGAGGGTATCGCACTCGCTGCAATCCTTCAATGTCAATCGATAGAATATTGGCAAAATCACCGGCCTGGCCCCACCCTCTAACCTACAAACTCTGTCTCGCTTAAGGAAACACTGCAGTTCTTTCATGGGCCATGGTCGAGCTACAAACTCCGGAGAAAGAATGAACACACCAACAGGAGCTTCTCGCATGGCACGATCCATTTCTTCCGGAGCAGTGTTATCCAGAATTTGCAAAACTTCCATATCTAGAAACGCGCGCACGCGTTGCCAGGTCAAGCTCTGATAAAGGGGTTGCGCCAAAGCCAATTTATCAGGGCTTGCATGGCTCAGAAACACATCAAACCTGCCCTCCGGCATCACCCGCTGCATTCCCGCAGCATCTGGCGAGGCACTATCTTTCGGCCATAGCGACATGGACACAACCTCAAGAGGCATAGATGTAAGACAACTGCCACAGGGCAGTTGGGGTAATGGTAACGAAATTTCCCCTTTTCTAAGAAGCCACTGCTTCGTCAATTCGATCTCAACAGCTCCTGGCGTATCACACCCTCCCAGAGACTTAACACAGTCCAGAGCCACAACATGTTTGTGTGGCGCGTTCATAAGAAATGCAGCACTGTTTTCCAACTTTTCTATACCGCCAATAAATTCCTTTGCAAGAATCACCGGAGTGAGGCCCCGGAATTTCCAGACAAGCTTTCGCTCAGCCGCTTTAAAGCCGAGAAAAACTCTGCTCCCGTCTCTTGCCCTGATTAGAAAAGCATCTGCTCGTACCCTCAACGATGCACCGGCAATTCCGGTCTTCCGATTCCCCTCTGCTACGTGTTTTCGATGAATATGGCTTATGAGGAAGCTGATTAGTCCGTTTGGAATACCCTCCTCTTCAAAAACTGTTACAACTTCCAGGTCTTTTTCGCCAGCTCGGTGACCCCAACGAAAATCTTCCCACCCGCTCTTCATCATCGCCGGTATGCCAATCGTAGCATCACCTTTCACAATTGAATCATCATTCCCGGTCAGTAGCAGCAGCAAATCGAAACGACACAGAATCTTAAGCATAAGCCTCTTGTCTTCTTCTTCACTATAGTCGCCCCATAAAGAAAATAACGCAGGTTGCGATATCCGCCCATCAGCCAACCCCTGAATATCTTCCTGGCTTAATAGATCTCGAAGCCGTTCTTCAGGAGCCGTTAGTTTGCCCAAAACGTTGGTAATCATCTGAACATCTACGAACACGTACCACTCTTGTTTGTCAAGCTCAAACAGGACTAACCTACCCATAGACGCATAACACCTCAAGCCCTCTAGAATATCTTGCTCCCTTTCTTCGCCATCCTCAACAAATCCAGGGAATCCTTCGCCAATTGCTAAAACGTGTGTTCTCTCAAAATGCAAACAGTTTCGCTTTTGGTGTTCGCGCTCTAGCTTGTCCACAAAAGCAAGCCAGCGCAATGGAACGGCATCCCTCGCCGCCACAACTTCATCGCCCGCTTCCTGCACTGCTCTTTCCAATTCGTCCAAACCACTAACCTTTGCGTCCGCTGATGATTGGCTATTCTCAATGGCAATGAACTTTGAGGCACTCACAAAGACACTGCCTTCTTGCCGCCTCCTGATCCATGAATCGTATACCTTTGAAGCGAGTTGTTTCTCTAGGCATTCCTTCAAGATTTTCAGTGTCTGTTTCTCATCACATTGAGCCTTTCTCGTTCCTACTACAAGCACACGTATGCGACTTGGATCAGGAACGAGGAAATGAGCAAGTTGCATCCAGTAGCAAAGCAGGCCAACCTCATCCTTCCTTGTCTCTTGCTCAGCAACCCTTGTTAAATCAGTCACGAAGAGAAGAATGCTGCCTCTGGCTATAACCAATGAGTGTGCCATTTCATACCTTGATTGCCCCGCCATGTCCCAAACCTGCACAACGCTCCCTTTGAAACCGGTTGGGATTCCGGCTAGCATGAGTGATCTGCGAACTCTCTCTATGACGTCCGCGTGTCTTCCCGTGCTTGCTTTAAAGATGGAAGCATCCGATGTCCCAAAATTCGGAACAATTGATCGCGCAGCTTCATCCGAATGATTTTGTGCTCGCTCACGCATCTCAGACTGCGAGACAATTTCCTTATGGAGCCGCGATGCAGTGGCTCGGAGAGAGTTTTCATTGAAGTCGTACTCCAGGATGATATCTTCCGTCAACCCACGTACGCCGGGTTCAAGCACAAACTTGTTGATCGCTGCCATCTCTGTTGGAATATGCGTCTCTTCGAAATGCATCCCCCGAAGGCTGTTTACTGTTGATGTTTTACCTCGACAACCACCCCCCAGCGTGAGCAGAAGACATGTCCTCGGTTTTGCAACACTCACCGAAAGAATATTTTTGATAATACTAGGATAGTACTCGCCGGCATCAATCACAAGCCTCTCTGATTGATATATTTGTACGGCCTCGAAGGAAGACTGAGAAGCCGCCTTTGAGAACAGTTTCTCGGCTTTAGCCTTATCTACGGGGACATCCTTTCCAAGGGAATGGTATACGGCCAGTTCATGTAGAGCGTACCCAAAAGTGGGGGAGAGCCGTAAACATTCCTCTAAAAGTTCTGCTGCTTTTTCTGGTTGCCGCCGGATGACACCTTCGTCGGAAAGCAGTAGTCTCGCTAGCGATGTTTTGACCAAAAAATTTGACGGGTCAGTCTGCGCCGCTCGTTCAAGCAGATTGACTGCACCAGGAACATCTCTTCGGGTCCCCGATCCATGTTCCATCAATATCGCCAGTGCACACATGGCGTTCACTTCACCTGCAGCCGCCCCTTGTCGAAATAGTTTAACGGCTTCTTCCAAGTTCTCCTTGACACCCGATCCATCACGATACGAGGCCCCAAGATTGAACATAGCGGTGGCATTTCCGTGATCTACAGCCTTTTTATACCATCCAAGGGCGTCCGATAGCGTTTCTGAGGTTCCTTCATCTCTGTTCAGCAAAAGTATAGCTACATTGTTCATGGCTTCGCTATCTCCCTTGTTTGCAGCTTTGAGGTACCAGTCGTAGGCCGCTGCTTCATCCTTCGTAACGGCGGCACCACAGAAAAATAATCTTGCCAAATTTTTCATTGCAAGGGTGTGACCCATTTTAGCTGCCCGTTCGTATAGCACAACGGCCTCTGCCATGTCGGGCGGAACCCCACCTTCACCCCTTTCAAACACGACTGCTAAGTCATTTGCTGCAGCTGCAAGCCCCAACTCTATCGCCTGTCGATACAAAGGAACGGCATCAGGTACGTTCCTCGGCTGCTCATTCGTACCTCGCTGTAGAGATACAGCCAAGGTATACAATTCCCTGGCGTTGGAAAGCTGTGCAGCCTTTTGGTAGAAAACGGTGGGTTTAGGGGAATCTCTCTGGTACTCCGATTCGCCAACCAACAAAAGAGCGAGCCCATTTCTCTTTTCAATACGGTTTTTCGTACGCGACATGCTAAATTGCAATCCAGAACCGTTTTCCCGGATATCCTCAGATTCATTTTCCCCGTCATCCAACTTGATGTCTTCCAAATCCTTGTTCCCGTTTAGGCCCATTACGTAGACAAATTTAGTCGTAAATTGATTTGCGATAAGTGAGTTTGGCTCAGATTTGAAGATAGGGCAAAGCGTGCGGAGAAGACACCAGAACGAATAGCAAATTCTGTTCCCCAAACGCCACAACTATGCCCGACTGCGCATGGAGAAGCGTCTTACGCGAATATCATAGCCTCACCGCAAGCGTAGTTAGCAGTGTAGTAACATCGCGGTGCACAGAAGCCAACATGTCACATCCCTCGTCTGAATCTCCGCGGGTAAGGCACGGTGGTTGGAAGGGTAGTTGGAAGGGCCTTTTAGAACAAAAACACTGTAAGAGCGTCCCCACGGTTAGAATCAAATAACCAAATACTGTAATTAAAATTTAATGATTTGATGTCAAATGACATCCCCCCCCCCAGTCGGTGACCTGGAGTAGTTTCTCATTTGATTTGTGACAAATCGACGAGAACAAGGTCAAAAAGCCATATTTTGGACCTTGAATAAAATTACCATAAACCAGCAATTCTACAGTAGGGTGTGCATTGCATGCTTTCGCTGAACGGTCATGACCACCTCAGATGGCAGGAAGAAAATTCTCAGCTCAACAAGAACACTCCGTGTGCCGCTCATATACATCCGTTTGGTGCCATTTGGGGTTCAATCAGCAGCCCTCTCGGCACTCCAACAACGAGGAAAGAAAAAAGCTGAAAAATCTCTCAGTCTCGCATGCTTTCTCTGTGTTAAAGCAGCTGAACTTGTACAGCGCAAGTTCGGTAGAATATCAACTTGCCCGGTACCATACCCATCTGTCTCCAAGTTCTATGGTTGTTGCTCACTTTATTAGGTCACATTGGAATAGTAACGCCCTGTGGAACTCGTGTCGCTCTTCTCTGTGAACTTCACGCAAGCCATTTGTCGTAATGTCGGCTACAGTACTAGCTCCTTCCGTTTCGGAGACGCCTCGCACATCCCTAAGCGTTGTTAGCATGTCTTTGAGAGGACATGAGAGAAGCAGGATGTTTTATAAGGTTTCTCTATCCGTTGTGGACGGTACACAATGTCGATTATTTCTTTTATCATTGAGTATGGCGGAAAGAATGTGGAAAAGATATTGCAAGGGAATGCAACTCAAAGGAAGTACTGAATACTGTGACCGCATAACTGGTGCATCTATCAGCTTCCTTAACTCTACCATATGCCATCTTTCAGGCTCTATGCCAGGTGAAAAATGCCAAGATTTTCTTTTCTGTCTACAGCAAACCATTTTGAGAAAGTATGACAGTTCTTCCTTTTTCTCTGCATGGATGGTACCTCAGAGTCTTTATAAGCTTTGGAAATGTACGAGCAAGGTTAATACAGAGCTCTTGCCGACTGTATGAACGAAAGCGGCGTTTCGTCCCAATACTGTAGTATGGATTTCATGGATGTTGCATTCGGGTCTATTGGTAGCTGGGAACATAATGAGGAAAGTGTGTCGGGAGGGGCAGGTAACCCTCCATTTGATGCCTGTCTCATAGCAAGGCTTCTCGAGAAGCTAGAGTCTGGCGTACAGAAGACTGCCCCCTACTGCAGGTGCCTTGTGCTACCTACAGGTATGAGGTACGGGGTACAGGAGCATTTGCGGTCGATTACCTCTGAAGGCCTGCAGTTGTTGAGCATTCCAGGTGGTTTTTTTCCTTTTAACGACATGCAAAATCTTCTCTCCGGTAATAAACGCAAAGCTAAACCTAATATGTATCAAGGAGTTGGACTTTATGTATGGAGAAACAGGGAGTTTTTGGTTCAAAATCCTCCACCACAAGATATCTTGGAAGTCTATCAGCTTTGGGTAGACAGATGCCTGCATAATCCTGCAAATGTAACATTGTATGAAGATGCTTTTGAGAAAGCGTTTCCGTTCAAACTCCGTAATGAGGAAAGAATGATGCCATACTTTTATGAACAGGTTCCTCTGCAATAAACTATTATTGCGGAGGAACCTATCAATGATTGACCCCGCTCGGAGCTCTTCACATTGGCTTCGTAACTTAGTTTAACAAGTGAAATCTTTTTTAGAGTACTGCACTCAGGTCCCCCAGATCTATGTCCCTACTATGCACCGATGATAGCTTTTCCGACCCCCCGTCGGAGACACTCGCTTCGCTTTCAGAATCCGATATAAGTGGGACAGTCTCTATGTTGCCATCATTTTCGCCCGCAACTGTACACTGGTTGGAGCCAATATTTTGAACTGCCCTATCCAAGTTTTCATTACACAATCCGCTGGCTTCTGGCTGTGAAGCCACGGCATCCGCACTATTTTTGCATAGGTGATCGGTGCAGTCACAGGCAACACATTTGAGGCCGTTTTTAAAACACGTGCATCTTCGAGTAGAACATTCTCCCTTTCACCTGCAAGACAAAACCGCAGCCTTAATATCTGAATGCACAATGCTTATGTCCTTTTCTAGTTCTAGTAAACCTGAGCCGTCAGTGTTGACCCCATATGTCGTTGAGCAGCCCCCGACCTCGTTCGGACAAAGGTTGTCTTCTGAGGACCTTGACCAGTACTTCTCAAGTACAAAGCCTGCCCTACGCATCTGCATGTCTAAGTGTAGCCTTGGCGGAACCAGTTGGTTAGACGACGTGACTAAGTCGGCTACAAAGTTGTAAACGTCTATTTTCCAAAGCACGGAGCCCACTGCGTGCTTGGAGACAAAGGCTGACTTCCGGATGACTAAAATATCTCTGTTATTACCAGCATTTCGGCTACTTGAAGGGTTCTCCTTCGTGATTAGTTCCTTTTCCTCAGAAGGAGTTAAAAGTATTCTCTTACCGTGTCTGAACAAATATGTCAGGCAAACAAACATTTCCATATTGTCAAATTGTGACGATGTGCAGGGGGTCAGAGAGCCGACGTACACATGGAACTGTTTCATGGCTTCTATAAAAGTGTCGTGGTTCAGTCCGAAAAATGAAGGACAGAAGTCGCAGCCCGCCAAGCAGTATGCCATACAGACGTCTTTCACAGTGAGGTTTGTTTTTTCAACTGATGCAATAGACTCATCCAGGCCATGCAGTGAGTCGTTAATTACATGCATCACCCCTATACCATGAACTGATGTGTTGCATAGAAGTATTATGAATACATCAGTATCATCTGATAATATTAATGACCCACTGCAACGTGTAGTTGCACTGGGAGTTGTTGAGCGCCTCTGTGAAGTCACAGGTAGCCCAGCCGTGAATGACATGAAAGGCAGCATTACGTAATTCTTGATTACAGACACAAATCGTGTCTCTGCCTCACCGTGGGAAATGACGTGATGTCCGAGGCATGCGGTGCCATTTGACTTAAACACAATGCACCTGTTTCGGGGAATCCTGAATGTCGTGCTATCATTTGGCGATACAGAACCACTTTGCTTGTTCTTCAATATCACGAACCCTGTCAGAGAATCTTCGAAGATTAACATATCACTGCAGCGCATCGGTATAAAGTCATGAGGGGAACTTTTTGTAAAAGTGGTTTCTATTGCAAAGTGTCCTCCATGCAGGTAAATACAACACGACTTATCCCTCTCCATTAGGAGTTCAGAGACAGCAGCCGCTCCACAGAAAAGGTGTAATGATGCCAGCTCATCTTTGTATTTCCTGTCATTGAGGAGAGAGGACCACGGAACGTTTAACTCCTCCCCAAAGCCCATTTTATACGTGTGGCTGGAGAGCTCTGCGTCATCCTCAGCTGTAGAAAACGTACTTCTGCCGTCGTCACGCCTTTGTTGCTCTGCTGATTTATGTCTCAAAACAAGGGACGGGTCATCGATGTGAAGATGTACTTGGCTAAGATATTTTGCTCGTGTGCCCGTAACCCATGGCATCAGCATATTCTTCATCTTACCGGTCACTACCTCCCTCAATACAGTACCCCGCTCACCAGTACTTCCTCTGTAGTGTAGTGCATTCATTACATCGACCTGCAAAGAGAAGTACGGCACTATTTGCGCCCCATAAAGATTTTGTGAGACAGATATATCACCGTTGCCAGCAACGTTGTTTAAAGGATAGCAAACCTCCCTGTTGCCTCTTGCGCCATATTTAAGAAAACGAGACTTCGGGGAGTGACAAATATTCCCGGTGTTGTCCCAAAAACTGTCTGCAAAAGCAGTTACGAGGTACCTCTTGTTGTGTAGCATTTCCCATCTTCTTATGAACTCCTCGAGTACTGTGTTTTGTCCTTTGGCGACTGCGTTTTGTAGCGCAATAGAGAAGCAGTCCTTCATTTTTGACAGCTTTCTTCTTCTATCATTTAAAAGTTTAACGTAAGCCTCCTTGCCTTTCGGTCTTTTCACACCCGAAGAGGCAGACTCCCGAGCAACCACTGTGAAGGCAGACGTAGAATCTTGTGTCTGTAAGGCAGTACCATTTTTTTTAGACATAGACTGAGACGGTCGAAGCACAGTTCTGGCCTTTGTCCACTTCTTAAATTTTTTTCCATACAAATGCTTGCTTCTATCCTCTTCAGAAAGATGTCCAAACACCTCTGGAAACAGAACACACGCAGGAAGCTTTGCTGTAAGAGCTCCTTCACTGGCGATGTTCAAAATCATCTCCTGGTCTTTCATAATGTTCATCATTTTTGGTGGTGTGCTAAAAACGTTCGTCAGTCTTTCAGCCCCCCTATGCCTGATACCGAGAAATCCAGCCTGGCGCATTACATGTACCATACGTGCCACTGTTGTCCACTGTCGGGCATTTCTGTCGAATTGTCCCAAAGGGCCTGGTAGCTCTCCTTCATCTACAATCTCTCTTTTTCTTCCGAACGCCCTGGATGCCCCTGTGACGTATCTAGTTAGAGCTCTCATGAGAGATACCTCCATCAGCCAGGACGCCGCGTTCTCAAGGTGATTAATAAAGTTGACACTGAGACCCTTAAGGTGTCTCACGATGAGCATCTCTAGAGCTTCATCTTGGTGCACATAGACCCAACCTCTTCTGTCCAATCCCCCTTTCTCCTTGCTAGTGAAACTAAGCAGTTTCAGTACTGCTTTTCCTGGTTTTTCGGAGAACAATACGTTGCTTACAAATGTAGGAAGTATTCCACGAAAGAACGCATAGAACAAGGACAATTCCTGGTACTTCAAATGATTAGTTGAGTGTAATATAGAATTATGCTTGAACCAGAAGGCATCCATTCAATCTGTATGGCCGGTCCTCGAAATGACGTGGGAGCCAATTGTCGGAAGTAGGCATGAAAAGAGGACTGTAGTTATGAAGTGCTTTCCGTTGGGGCCGTTTGTGAAGTGATATTCTACTTTTCGTCGCAGGACTCTACCAATTTCAAGAACTTCGGCAGTTACCATGTCTGAGGTCGCATCGTACA